TTTTGAATTTACATTAATTTTTAAATTATATAAAGGGCTTTAAACAAATTCCATGAAGATTAAGGGGAGGTTTTGTCACCACAGCAGCAATATGTTATGGGAAATGCAATTGAACAGAGTAGAGAACTGAGCAGAGGATTTGTTTGTAATTATAGCTGATTCCGCTTTAAAGGGTTTAGCATTGACAGTATAGAAATTCTCACAACAGTTCCAGCAGTGCACTTTAATGCGGCAATTAAATTAGCCAACACATAGAGCTTCGTGTCTTTGTTTATGTGTGTGCATGTGCCTCTGTCGGAGCTCAAATGTATGCTTCTGGGTGCATTTTAATAACATTTCTGTATTCTTTTGTAAATCCATCAATAGCTGTTTTTCTCAGTATGAAATACCCCCACCCATTGTCTCACCCAGAAATTGAAAACATAAACTAGAGGAATGCTCACAAGCCATGGAATATCAATCAGTCTGCAAACAAGTCGGAGGTGTCAGCAGAGTAATGGCTTTTGTTTGAGAAAGAGTCCATAGCTGGTGCACAGAGGGATTTAAAACAATAATCTTTCCGGCATAATGACTAGGTAATATGGATAGTCCATTTATCTTTGATTAGATTTTTTGATGCGGGGATTCATTCCCTTGGCTCACTGTTTCATTATTCTTTCTAATTACCTGCACCGATTCGCCCATCAAGCATCGGTACACTGGCAAGATGTAATTGCTTCTGCCATAAATCAAGAAACATTTGTGGGCGTCTCAAGAGCTTCTTCTCCATTTATACAAACACACTGAGAAGCCAAGCTTATGCTCATATTGATAAATCCAATCATTCATTTTGACATTTTGATATTTGATGTTCTCGGTCTCCAGCTCAATGTTTTGCTAGCTCTTACACTGATAATTCTTGTCACTGTTGTGTTTGACAATGTGTGTACAGAAGGAGTGCCCGCCTCTGTCTTTGTCTCATTAACATCAAGATTTGCCGTGTCCCCACTTGAGAAAAAAGCACTTTGCATTTGTGAATGGGATGCCACTGAGTGATGCATTACAGGTACAGCCACAGTTGGCTTCCAAGGTCAAGGAGCACATTGTGTCTTAATGAGGCCCCAGCTCTGATAAACATTCAGCTGCTGGCCCCCAGTGTTGCCTAATCTATGTTGTAGAAACACCAAAAACATGTAAAAATCTGCCCGGGGCCACCACATATTCCAGTCCACAGGGTTATTATTCTAATTTAGTTAAGGCATTAGGCAAATCAACAGCTCCTGCAGCAGCGCAGTGGGGAGAAGTGGCTCGAGGTAGAATGTGAATGAGCTAAGTTAAGGCAGACAGAACTGGGGCTTAGCTGTTAGCCTGGGGGTCAAAGTGATAATGTATGAACTTAGCTCTGGCAGTGGAGCAGACAGCACTACATTAGTGACCAACGAGAATCTTAGAGTGGGTCCTTTATTCTAAAAGCGACACAGCAAGTGTGTATGTCAGCTGATCAGGGACAAACATGGATTATTTGCTCAGCTACATCAGTACTGCTGTTCCTGCTGCATCAGATTTGTCAGCTGCTTTTTTTTCCTTCTCTCAATGGTCACACTGACCTTGATTGTGGTGAATTAGATTGTTTGTGTTTATGCCAAAACCTTATGCATATGAGGCACTGTGAATACAAATGCAGGGCTCAACTTTTTATCTAAGGAAAGTAACAACCTTGCATATTTTTGGATGAAAGTTGCGGTGTCTAGAGGTCAGATAGGCTTTAATAATTTACTTTTTAAATATTGCATGTTTTTGTTTGTGCTTAGTGTTTGCCAATTCTAGCAATTGTTAGTTTGCATTATACTGAACACAAACTACTTTACTTTTAAAAAAAACCACAAGGTCTTTCTTTTATTAAATTCCATCAACATACCCATGAGCTTTTTTTTTATTCTATTAGAATGGCAAGGACAGAGTTTGCATGTGGTTGGTTGAAACCTGGATAAAATGTTGAATAAACACACTATTACCAAAGACAAACAAATTGGATGAAAAGTTATTTTGATATCTTACTCTGCTGTTAAATTTAGTCCTGCAATGCGGTGGGTGTGTGTGATCTGTTGACTTCTGGCTGTCCTTGCTTAATAGCATCTTGTCTGAACACATTCACTCTGCCCGGCCATGTCTGCCTTTTGTGAACCAAACAGTGAAGAGCTGCTTCAACTGACGAGAATGCCCAGTGTACTAAAATCACTGGAGTGCAGCAAACTAAATGGTCCCCAACAAAGCACTTGCTACCTTGGATTTTACAGTAGGTAATATCCTCCTTGGGGCCAAGACTTCTCTTGGCTCCTGGCTACCTATATTTACTGCTTGGTCCTTGTATAATATATGTTATTTACTTTTTAAAGCTGCAATAATCAATATTTTAGCAAAAGATCAAATGTGTAATGTGAAATACATCTAATACTTGACTGTGCAACTACTCACCTCTACGGAGCCTTTTAGCATAATTCCATTCATTGTTTTGGTTTGTACGGCCCCCCAACATTACAGTTTTGGTTCACTGTCACCGTTCTTATCAGCCTAATTTCCAAAAGCATGAGGCTCTTATTTTCAGTCAAATAAAGCTGATAAATTGACTCTGATAATTTGACTTTATAGGTCACCTGCCTGGCACAAAACAGCATGCACACAAACAATGTTAGAAACTAGCTGATAAACATTGTGGAGCATTTAGCTGCTGAAGAGTCATAGAAGAGATATTTTTTGAGTGAGACCAAAACAGAGCTATGAGGAGAGTGAATACTGGACCTACATTCATCAGGCCTCCTGAAACATGACACAACAACTGATGCTAATGTTCATCCATATCTGCTGGATGTGTCAACATGGACCCATGTCTTGTCCTGCACCTTGGCTTGCTGTGAAAGCTAACAAACATCCAATGTTGGATAGGTTCACTGCTAATTTAATTTTGCAGGCTAGATCCCAAATAAGTCAGCTAGCACTTACTGGCAAATGGTTTGTTTACAAATGTCCTGGTCCTTAGTCTTCAATAAAAAGGTTCCTGTCCTTGGCTTTTAAGCTACGGTTAACATTGAAAGTTTCTTTACCTTGTGTCTGGGCTAAAGGACTGTTTCGGCTTTGCCTTTGTTTTTCCTTTCATTAATCAGACTGATTCATACTGACATTTTGAGTGAGTTCTGCTCTTTGCAGGATATTTACTGTGTAAGCCACGACTTCCTGTGAACACAGATCTGGTGAATACAAGGCTGTAGATATTTCCAGCTGTCTTTCAGCAGGAGGTGCACACAGTCCTATCCAGCCTGTGTCCTTCCTCCCACTGAATATGTTCAAGTGGCTTCGAAACACTGAGTGGGATGACTAAGGGGCAGCTGGCAATGACCCAGGTTAATATGGTTAAAACACTTGAGTGCCAGTGTCTGCAGTCACAGAGGCATGCAGGGTGCTGAATGCAGAAAATGGAACAGAAGTCTTCAGAGAGTCCTGCAGCTAGAGGAGCATAGGGGGCAGTGATACTGTAGCTGCTGTATCAGCAGCTGTGCTGAGGTCTGCATGGCGGCTGTAGCAGTGATTTCCCCACAGTCTGTCTGTTTCTGCAGACCTCAAATTAAATCAGCACCTTTTGTAATGGGACTTGTGCGGCAGGAATGTAAATGTCATACAGAGCTGAGAAACACAGGAGCTGCACGACTGGAGAGGAAGCACATGGGCTACATTCATTAAAACACAGGGGTAGATGACAGGAAAGTGTATCCTCACAATGCCAAAAGAAGTATAATCAGTGTGTTGTTTTGTTGGATTCAGCATTTTGCACCTTTAAAACCCTGTTTAACCACATTTTGGACTGCAGGGACGTTGTAGAATATATGGACCACTGATCATCTTTGTGCTCTTGAGTTAAGTTTGTATCTTGATGAGGCTGTGCTCTTCGAAGAGCGTGCTCAGCACCACAGCGCACCACTTCTCCAACTCTGACACAGATTTCCGAGAGGGTTAAAAATGAAAGCTCTCAAATCTGTTCTCAGAAAAGCAGAATTGATTTCATCTTGAAGACGTAGACCATTAAGGCATTTAAAGAGGCATGAGAATACTTACAAGATCACGTTCGTACCAGACGTTCTCTGACAAAGAGCTGTGCGATCTATAAAGGTTTTTTTTTTCAACAGTTACAGCTGCCATCTGATTATAGTGAAGCAGCAAACACACTGAAGAGTATAAATCTGAGGTCCTCCGGTGGGTATGAAGTGGGATCAAAGTGCTTTGGGAAGCCTGTGCCATGTCTGGGTTTGCTTAATCAAGTAAAAGTACACAGTGAGACTGAATCCCTCTGTACCTGATTTACTTGAGCTATAATTCAATTGGAATTGGAGATGAGGAGCTGGCAGTGGCAGGAGGGAGGTTACAGTATATTGGGTTGTGAGGAGGAAGTCATTGGAACTGGCTGCTGATGTTCAGAATCATTACTGCATGCTGTGGTCTATACCACCCATGTCCTTAAAGATTATAGCTGTGGGGCTTCTGTGCAGAGTCAGGAACCTGCAATGGGGGATTTTTGTGTTGATAAAAGTTGAACTTCTTTTGTGAAGGTTCTTCACATCGAAATATAAATGAATGCTACCTCCTTTCCCAATGTGTTTGATGGATTGTTTACTGGGTGCAGGGTATGTTTGTTTGTTCTAATAGGCCTATGATGGGGTTGAAACTCCATCCAAGCATGTGATTCGTGAAAGGATGATTATAGTCCTGAGGTTGACGATGCATGTATGCGGGGAGGGTTGCATAACATTCAGATTAAAACCTATATGCACCATGGCTGTGAAGCTTTAAGCTGCCCCTGGCTGGGACATCAGAGGTGAGAGGGAAACTGTTAACCTTGCATTACGGATCAATCAGCAACAATCTGTCAACATGTCACATTTTTCACAGTTCAATAACTGATAGGGGGGATGCTGCTCCATCGAGTGGAAGTATTTGCTGCTTCCATAGTCGTGCTGTTTATTTAATCCTGCGAGACCAACACGTCTCCTGAATATTCATGATTGTGTCTCCGAACGTCAGGACGCAGCGGCGGCTCTTCCCTCCCTGACAGAGAGCGGAGAGGCTGGGAAGAGGAGGGAGACAGCATGCCAGAGTCCGGTTGCATCTCTCCCACTGCATATGAGGGCAAATCTGCTCTCAACTCATCCTGCTCCGCACCGCCGACAACGGGGACAACAATGGACTGACGGAAAGACAACCGCGGGGCGAGAAGAGACACGGCGGGGGGGAGCAGACAGCGCGGGAGAGAAACGCCGCCTTGTTTTTGAAGCGTGCACATATTTATCCGGACATAAGCTCCTTCGGGTTCACATTTGCAGAGCGGGACGGATCGAGCGAGCACAACGCCTTTGAAAACGGGGGATGTCAGAGCCGAGCGGCGTTAGCAGGAGGGTGCTTCGATGCGAGCGGTTATTGCAGCGCACCTCCTGGAAGATGGACCAGACATATTGGGGCTAAGGAACTGGCGACTTATCACGTTGCGGAGGAGAGATGTTTTGCAACTGCCGTAGGCTGCTCTAGAGGATGAATGCCTTCCCTGGCGTCGTTTGGCGTTTGTAATATGTAGCTCCAGCGACGGCAGAGCGTGTGCAGCTGTTTCTCGGCCAGTGAAGCCCGTAAAGAAAGCGTCGCTCGCCGGCTGGAGTCGAGCACCGTGGCCGCCAGCAACCTCTCCCGACCTCGGAGCTCCATGTGACGGGCGCGATGCCCCGCTAAAGAAGTGAGCGCAGCCCGCTGAGCTGTCCGTGGTGCTGAACGGATCCGCCAGCTCCTCCGGGGGGCTCTTAACGAGTTGACCTCCCCCCCCAGCAGAAAATCCCCCTCCAGGAATACACAGTAAGGTGGCAAAGCAGGCCACCGCACACGGACAGCTGCTGGGCTTGACTGAGTCGGCCGGACAATATTCTTCTTTCATGGCTGTGGCACGCAAAATCAAAACTTTGCTGACCGTCAACATTTTAGTGTTTGTGGGGATTATCCTGTTCTCGGTCTACTGCAGGATCCAGGACCGATCCGAGGAGCTCATCCAGATAGGGCGTATTTCTGACCAGAGGCTGCGAGCCAGGAATGGCAAAGTTTCCAACTTGGTGGACAGGCAGTCTATTCTCCAGAGGCTGGAGAGGCTGGAGGATGTGGTCTACAACCAGCTGAACGGTAGGGCTTGATAGGCTCAATAATAATGAAAGGTGGGCACAATGTGTAACTTACTAGTAAAGAGGTCATCAGCACACCGAAGTAAACAATGACCACTGCAAATAAAACACTGTGTGAACTGTGTCTATACCTGCTGAAAATACACTCCTTATGCAATGTAGAGCACTTTTTTGGATTGATTGACCAAACTGTCTTCCAAAATCTAAAATATGTGCTGGCTGCATGCATTGAGGTGAGTTTTCCGTAGACCTGAAGCATGACTCATGCATATTTTTCAGCCTGTCAGCCTGTAGCCTCATTTCTTTGGTAAAACGGTGAGAAATCTGCTTCATTTTGCACATGAAACCAGGTTAAGGTCTGCTGCCTCTGCAGCACTGACCCTGCCTGTTAAGAAGCTAATGAAGCAGGGTGATGTATTACAGTGCAATACTTGGTATATGTGCTTAATACCGCTTGTGTTGATAGACTTTACGGGGCTGTTACTTTAACAGCCTATCAGACTGTGCCACCCCCAACCCCATAATTGACTTGTTGTAAACTTCACATAAACTTATGCTATAAGTATTGATGTCTGCAGATCTGCAAGGAATTCCACTCAGAGGAAGTCTGTCTCTCAGCAGCAGCTCATTTCACTGGAGGCAGTGCTGGTGAAACATATCAGATTTAACAAGCTGTCTGAGTTTTGAAGGAGAGTCTAATGTAATGGCTATATAGCGGAATGACAGACTTGTATTTCATTACATGGCCATTAGTCTGTGGGGCGGATTTGCTCTCCCCAGCAGAGCAGCAATCTTTAAAATCAGGTTAGGTTACCTATGACTCCTCATGGTCTGTTCTCCTGTGGGAAATCAAACACAATCAGGACTGATGTTAAAGATACAATCAGGCATTTGTTTGGCATCAGTCATGCTTGAAAAGACTGATCTGGATCCAGTACATGACATATTAAAAGTGTATACGTCACTATGTGTCAGTGTTTAATAAGTCACGTACATGAAGCAAACAAATTTCTACTTCCTCAGAATTCATGTCAGAATCACATACTCCAATGCATTCAATTATACTCATTCAATTACTTTTTACACATAAATGCATACATTTGATACAACATTGTTTAAATGACTGAAAATTGGGGCTGCAACATGAATTGTTTGGACTACTAAATGTCAAAATTATGAAAAAAGCCTGTCTCAATTTCCAAGAGAATCAGACAATCGACTAATCGATTAATTGTTTCAGCTCTAATGACATGCATGTCATCAGCAAGTAAACCGAGAACTCTTATTTTCTACTATTTCCTGATAAATGTCTGTCTACTAATGTTGGTTTAAAGACTCAAAGCCAACAATTTATGGAGAAGAGGATAGTAATTTACTGTTGGATAGGTTCCCACTGACTCCTGCGCAGGTCAAACGAAATAAACACATTTCTTGAATTTAGTGTATTTTTTGGACTGACCAGTGCTCACTCACAGGATACCGAGGCTATGTGGGATCATAAGCACAGTGTTCTCACACTGTTGGGTCTGCTGTGGTGGCATACTTCAAGACAATGTCAGTGGTGTTGTATGAGAGTGCCACAGACATGCTGTACTGCTGTAAAGCACCAATAGATCCTAATGCATGTGCAGGGGGGGGTTGATAGAGTTGTTGAATGACAATGACTCACTGATTACTAAATTAGCTACCTTTGTGCCTAAATACCTGCCTAAAAAATACCTAAATATATATATAAAAAATAGTATTACATGTATTCCAGCCCAACCTCAGTTTTGGATTAAAACTCCTCACACACAGGCTTTTTAAACAAACTCAAAATAATCCAACCTATTCACACAACAGTGATAAGGGATGTGTTTTGAAGCATGATGTTTCATCTACTAAAGCTACAATGTCTTGTTCACAAACCAAATAATGAGAAATCAGTGTGCTGAAATGTTACTGCTTAGCAAGGTGTTACTGATTGATTTCTAATTTATCAGTAAAGTCCATTCCTATTTACTAGGGAAATTGTGACTTTAGCATCTGTGTAAATCACAGGCTGCTGAAGGGGGTCTGCGGGATAAGGAGGATGTAGGAGGAGGCGGGTTCTGCTTGTGTTGTTGTATTTCATGCTGGTCACCAGTAGAGGTCAAATATACCTTAATGTCCCTTTAATTACAATTCAATCCCCTGAAATGTGTTTCAATGCTAAATTAAAGGCAGAAAAGAAATGGAAGATATATGGAGAAAGTAAGCGTTTCCCTGTGGTTGAAGATACAGTATCTCTAACTGATTTGTAATGTTAGAAAGAGCCCTAAAAAGTGCATTGACAGTCCATTTGACTGTTTTTGTCCTCAACTGACTGTTCAACAGTCAGTAGTTGAGGACGTTTCACAGCTTCATGGCTGCAAAACAGTGAGACTGTGGACCGTCTCGGCAGGATTGTGTTATTATGGCCGAGCTTCGGCAGCTATTTGAGGGTCACTCTGTCACTTTGAGTTATGCCTGGCATCTGGCATCCAGCCAGCAGGCATTGCCTCTTAAAAAGTACAATGCATCCCCTCAGTCACTTGGCTTTATATAGAGACAATGAAACTATAAGCCAGTCAACCCCACAGTGTCACTGCAGTGGGACAGAAACACACTGTGTCTGAGAAACTTTTTAAGGGCTGAGAGAAAAAGCAGCACTTATCTACTTAAACATTTACTTGTGAGGTTATACAATGGGCGTGGGAAAGTCTATATGGATTGTATCAATTAGTCTCATGCCAATTTTGAGTGGGTAGATTTTAAAACATGAATCTGGGTTATTAAGTTTAATTGTTAATTGACTTTTCTGGCTGGAGGGCATCCGCCTCCTCTCCTCTAGGCTAGTTGTACACAGTCTGAAGAGGTGCATTTCGTGTCAATTGTTTTATGTTAGCGAAAATCATATCAGGTTCATAAATTTAAATTCTCAAAACTGACTCTTCAGCACAGTACAGTAGCACAATCGAGTCCAAGTAGCTGGGACACAATTTGCAGATCTTTCACAAGTGGAGAGAGTAACAGTCGATTATGGGCTGAAGAGAGGAACAAGCAATGAACTAAGTGCAAAGCTGGCACAGTTGCCTGTCTTCCAGTTAACATAGGAATACAAGAGAATAAAAGCATCCTGAACCTAGGTGTGAGTCTAAAATGAATTAAATAAGTATAAAAAAATTCAGCAACAATCACATGCAGTGTAAGGCTGTTACACTGAATTTCAAATTGAGCTACACATAGAAAATTGCTGAATCCAATAATTCAACAAACCCATTTGTTCATTGTGAGCATTACAAATTCCAATTTACAATTTGCAAACAAACTCTACAGACACATACTGTATCTCTTTCTATGCAATCCAAGTCTAAGACAGAAAAAGGAATCAATTGCGGTTCATAATTTTTCTTTGACAGCGGCAATGTGTACCAAGGAGTGCACACAGGCTGGGAACGTTCGCTGGTTGTCACAATCCCTCCATGATTTGTCTTGAGCTCTTTAATGGCATACTTAATCATATCCTTATATCCCAGGTCACTGCCCCTTTTTCTAAATCGTGCACAGACCACAAATTGTATTCTATGGCCACTGGGAATAACTATGGTGAGAGGAGGACTCAGCGCGCCAATAACTATTACCATGTCCGGCAGCGTTATGAAGTAATTGCCCATTCCCTCTGTTGTTTATTGCCTACCAATGGCATGCCGTGGGAGCTGCAGCAAGGTCCAATTAGATTTGAAGGACATAAACAAGTCGCAGAATTCTCTTTTATGGTCGCCTGATAGATGGTCACCAGACTCCCAACAAGAAAACAACAGTCAAGCTTTATCAGCAGCCCATTCTGCGCAGAAATGAGCAACATGAGGGTTATCAGTAGCACCGCTGTGCTGTGGATGCCACCGTCTTTGGGTAATCAGATGAGGAGGTTTTAAGCTTGTTAACAAGCTTATGAAGCAGCGATTTGACCTTAAGTACTGCATTAGAACCAGCAAATACCTTCCCGCCGGTACTTACCTGCTGAAGCCCTGTGATTCTGACTAAATGAACACTAAACACAAATAAGATTAGCTGCCATTGTAACACTCAATTTGAACAACTGTTGTTACAGATTTTATCAGCAGTAGCTAGGCTAGCTAATTAAGCTAACCTTAGCTCCAGGAGTTGGTTGGAAAGGCCTTCTGAGGTTGACTTTTTAATGTTTGCAGCTGGCTTGTTATCAAACGAAAACCCTATAAAATATGCGCTTTGGGCAAAATGCATGATATTGTGTTAAAAGGCTAAAGGATAAAGCTACATGTTACAAAAAAAGTCATCTTCCCCAGTTAATGATCCATGGAAGACATGGAAATAAAGAAAAAACAATTGTTTGTGTGTTGCAGTTTAACATAATAGGCCTTACATTATAAGGAAATATGTTAAATATTTTATTCTAATTAGCTTACACACTTGTTTGTATTTTCATGTTACTAGAGTAAAATCTTTGAGCCTGATAACTGATCAGCGTGTTTGGCAAATGTTAAGTTAAGTTTGGCTGGTTAGCCGGGATTGCAAACACACAAACAAACACACTGTTCAATCCATCCCTTACACTTTTTGGTTTGAAAAGGCTAGAAAAGACCACTTTAAGCACTTCAAATGCAAGCATTGCTCTCACCACAGCTCCATACACAGCATCAACAGATATCCAAAGCCCTGCCATACCTAGGTACAGTTGCTAAGCTACGATTGGATGATTGCTGTTCAGGGAAAGGGTGTAGTGAATTGTCAACTGCAAGGCTCAGATATGTAAAAAGAGACTAGTTTAATAATAAAAAAAAACATTTAATAAACAAAAACAACATCAGATTGATTCATTCCGATGGTCTTAAGGTCAAGCTTAAATTGGATGAAGCTCAGATAAAACTACCTGATTTTCATTTAATTGTCTCTCTTTCTTCTGCTATTCTGTCACTGGAAGCAGAAATGCTCTAAAAATAGGCTTCTTAAAAAACAAATATT